AGCATTCTAATCAGGGGGGTTATATTTAGACATACTCTGTGTTGGAACAACTGAATTATTATTTTTTTAACAAGCTCCACAGTGTCATGTCATTAGATTAGTAAAACTGATGAAAAAAAAACAAAATACCCCACTGGGGGCAGAATGGCTACAATGTTACTGTACATGCAAAGCAAAAGAAAGAGACATTTCATGTTTTCGGAACTACAGAGAGTTTTCTGACTCCTCTCAACATCCCCTGCACCAAAGTACCCCTACAGTTCTATTGCTGAACACATATCTACAGGTAGCTAGAAGAGGGAAATGATGATCACAGTTAGTAAATTTTGGGGCTGGGTGCTCCCTCTCACCTGCCACCCTAGGCACTAACCTTATGGTGCTATAATGCTAAATACAGCTCTGAATCTATCCTGTCCAGTCTCTTCCCTTGGCGCTGGCTTTGGTGTCAATTCGAGATGATCACCACCTTGTTTCCTAGTGGCTTTCAATGTCAGGCAGTGCAGTCATGATCTCTGCTTAACCTCTAATAACAAACAAATCAACACTTGCAATCTGGGGGGTGTATAGTTTTCAATTAAAGGCTATGGTCAGATTTTGTCTATATTAGGGATGCATCAAAACATATGGGCCGAAAATTGCACTTTTGGCCGAAATAGCGGTGCATCTGTTCTTTTTCTCCTCCCCGCTGGGCACTGCTCTGTGTCCCAGCGGGGTGGAGAGGGAATGTCACAGGCGGCCGAGCGCTGTGAGCGGCCGGCGTCTCTCCTCTCCTCCCCGCTTAGCCTCCTGTCACAGATCAGAGGAGAGCAGTGTGGGTGGAAACAGCCAGCGCTGTCACAGAAGGCTGAAATCTCCTCCGTACACCGCTCGCTCAGCCTCCTGTGACAGCTATCAGGATGGAGAGCGGGTACAAGCAGTCGGTGATCAGTGATCGCTGAGTGTTTGTAAATAATTGAGGACAGAGTATGGTTACTATATCCTCAATTATGAATGAATGGGAAGTGATCTACATCACCTCCTGTTCATTCATGATTGTGGTTATAATAAACACGCTCTGTTCTCATGTTATTAATAAGCAGGAACACTCAGTATATAACAGGGGCTGCAAAATAAGAGATTCAATCTCTTTTTCTATTTTAAAAGGGATATATCAGGGGTTTGTTTAGACCCCCTAATATTTCCCCGAAGCCCCTAAAGCCCCTAAAATAAAAATAGTTATTAAAAATGAATAAATAAAATATAAAAAAAATCAAAAGTTAAAAAAAAAAAATGGAAAAAGTTAGAATAAAAAACATTTTCGGTTTGACATTTTTTTCAATTTCGGTTTCGTTTCTGAAATTTTCATTTTGGTGCAGTCTATATGCTTGCTCTGGGATAGGAGCAGCAGAAAGGTGCAATCACTATGATAAATTACCAGTTAGCTCAGAATGTATACATGTGGCTGCCTTCATGTATTCTAGTAATCCACATAAAAAAATGGGATTTTAAAATATTAGGACAGAGATGAGATTCTTTACATTGCAAAGATAACATTGATATACAATATGTATCTAAAAATAAAACAAACTAAAACTAAACTAAGACTCGGGCTTTGTTGGAACCCTCTGATTTCAGCGTGGACACATTATTGTTCCATCCAACAAAAGGTTGAGCAGCTTGCTGTGTCTGAAGTCTGTTCCTATTCCCGGCTCCACCACGCTGGAAGTCCTCTTTGCAAGTCTAACCTCGGGTATTTCTGATCATAAATTCAGCGTGCGTAAAGTGCATGTAGAGAATATGAAAGATCTTCTTTTTCTGTCTTGGAAGCTTTTAAATAAATGATTTGAGTCTGGCCCCAGGAAGGTGAGTTTATACTTGACTCGCATGATCTATACTGCACTGGCTTCATGCACGCTTTCATGGGGTAACTGTAGGCACGGCTACCTCCAGGCGGCCTATAGAATGCTCATGCAGAAACGTCATTCTGCTTGTGGCAACCAATCAGGTTTCATCTTTAGAATGAACAAGAAAACTGGATGCTATAGACAACAGCTCCATACTGTATGTGTTCTTCTGTGCAAAGGGCAAAAACATGAACCTCTTCTTGTTAAAGCTAAATAATAATCAGCTTATATTTTGCCTTCCCTGGTCCCTCCCTCCCCTCAATGAACATGCTAATAAAATGTTTAAATCAAAATAAAAAAAACTTTATTTTAGACTCAGTGATGCCATCACCGGGTCTCTGTGCTTCTCTTTACAATGCCGGCTGATCATACACGGTGGGAGGGGCTGGCAGGGTGCTGTACATTGCTTCCTGAAAACATCACAGCGCCCTTCCTCAGTACTCCTCACAGGAGCCGTCCGCCCTGATGCAAGCAGTGGGCTGGCTCTTGGGAGGAGTTATGCAAATAATAAAATGCCCCGATGGGTAGATATCAGTCTGGAGGAGGGGGTGTTGTTAGGCAGACATCATAAAAATGCAGACCACCCTACGTAATGCCCACATGTGATGCTGAGCCTCCATTACTGAAAGAACTGAAATCCAGTGAATGAAAGGTGCGGGCCAGGGGCAGGCAGGTTGAGTAAGAAAGGGCTACTTCAAGGGTGGACAACTCCGACCCTCCAGCTATGCTTCAACTACAAATCTCAACATGCTTCTGCCTCTGGGAGCCATGCCTGTAACGGTAAGTCTTGCAATGCCTCATGGGACTTGTAGTTCCACAACAGCTGGAGGGCTGGAGTTACCCAACCCTGTCCTAGATGGTGCTGGACGTCCCACAGCCAGGAAATGAGATCTATGGGCTCTATATGACTTGCTGCAGCTTCTAATGCACATTATGAGAAGCTCGCAGTGTGCAGTGATATCAGAGTAAGTGGAGAGGAGCTGGTACAACTGTGCAAGACTGAAGGGGAGGCCGGAGTTCAGCTTTAAGTGTAAACTAAGTGTTGCATGGTTTACCATTGCCAAAACTAGTTGAGCCTACACCAACTTACACATATATACATTACATCAAAGGAATTCGTCTATGATAGATAATTCACAGGGCTATTCAATAAAGGGTTAAGAGTTTGGAGAAGGCCGGAGAAGGGAACACTCTTGGACAACATAGCTGAACTGGAAAGTGAGCTGAATTGGAGAATTTCTCCAGATCCGCTGTGTTGTCCTAGATTGTTCACTTCTCTGGCCTTCTCCAAACTCTTCACCGTTTTGTGAATAACCTTGTAAGTCATTATAAAAAAACTCCTCCAGATACGCGGGCACATAAGCTACTTACTCGGTGAGTTGGGAGAACTGGCTCCTCCGTCTGTAGACGTAGTTGGAGGTTTTGTGTCTGGCACGGGCAGAGGCACAGGCCTAGCCATAGGTGGCGGAGGAGGCGGTGGCAACATCGGAGTCGGAAGGAATGGATTGTGAACCTTGCCTTGGCTGCTACCATTGGGCTATGAAACGACAAGAACACAAGTCAGACGGAACATAGAGAAACGTATTCCAATAAACAGTTACATTGTTATATTCAACAGTCACACTCGTCCCATTATCACAACATTTGTTACTTTTATACTAGACGTCAGACCTAAGAATTCAGCTGAGCTTAAAACTGATAATATCCGGAACCCGGAGTGAGCAAGCACTCGATCAGTTCATAAAGCGCACAATCACCTCCATCCGCACCGGTCGGTGTCCCCCGACCAGGTGTGAGACATAAATGTTTATTTTTTTGGGTGAACTCCGAGGACGGATTCCGTTCCCCTCTGCCAAGTCATAAATTTGATCGTTTTCGTTTAGAATCACTTCGCTCGGAACAAAAGCGGGAATTATATTTTCAGCTCGGCTCGCTGTCTTGCACAGCTCAGCTGTGTCCTGGCTTAACTGCCTATTTAACATTTTATAAGAAGGAGCAGCGCGTTTAATTTATGGAGCAATAGAATTTAGGAGGCCGCGTGCTCTGTAGTGTCTGACTGACAATATCAGTTCTGACAACAGTCAACAAATTGATCCGACGAGCGAGCGTCTCGCCCCGTGTGAGTGGGGTGGGGGGAGGGGGATAGAACAGGGCAGACAGTAAAAGTTGAAATACGGCAGCTTTTTTTTTTTCTTTTGGAGAAACAATAAAATTCTTTACTGAAGTCTTTATAACGGTGGCTGTTATTTGCCACTGCGGAACCGGGGAAATAAATCTTATTTTTTAGAAACTAACACTTTGGTAACTCTGATGCTTCAAAAAAGTCAGCAAAAGCAGAATAGTCGCATGCATTTTGATGGCAAAAAGTGCTTGTGACTATGTGTAGATAAACCATGTGGCCCAAACTATGTGGATGTTCCTCCAAATGATTGAGTTCAGGTGTTTCCAGTGAAGGGATCTGGTAATGCAACAACATACAAAGACATTATAGACAACTGTAAGCTTCCATCCTTGTGTTGGTGAAGGCCCTTTTCTATTGTATCCTGACTGTGTCTCTGTGTACAAAGCCAGCTCCGTGAAAACATGGTTTGACCACTGTGGTGTGGAGGAACTTGCATGTTCTGCACAGAGCCTGACCTCAACACAACTGCACACCTTTGGGATGAACTGAAAATTATTTTAGGTAATTATTAGGTAATGATATCATATTCATATCAGTCCCTGCCCTCGAGGAGCTTACATTCTAAGGTCACTATACATACTCAACCATACTAGGGCCAATTAAGACAGGAACCAATGAACCTATCAGCATGTCTTTGGAGTATAGGAGGGAACAGGAGTACCCGAAGGGAACAGGAGTACCCAAAGGAAACCCACGCAAGCACAGGGAGGGAAAACATGCAAACTCCTTGCAGAAAGTGTCCTGACTGGGACTTGCACACTAGTACTGCAAGGCAGAAATCCTACCCACTGTGTTGCCCACTAAGCCAAGAATAAAATATGTTAGTCATCAGACTCAGAAAAACAAAAACTACTAGTAGCAGACTGTCTCATATATCTAGCTACACTTTAACCTTGACTGACATAAACTTTCAGTTCCTCCTTTCAGCCTGGAAATTGATTGGGCCCATAGACTCCATAGGGAAGACTCGGACCGTAAATATTTGACGTAAATTTGTCAGTCTGATATTGTCCGTCACCATTCCTTTAAAATGCTCGTTTTCACTTGTGTGCTTCCTGCTGTTTTAGCTTGCGGTCTGCAAGGAATATTTTCTTGCCTGTAGCAATCGTCAGACAGATAAATAGGAGGCGTAAGAAATTAGGCTTGTGGTATGTGGGGTTCAAGTACTGGTCAACTTCAGCTCAAGTACTGGATACACACGTATAAATAACTTCAAGGAGATGGAACATCTGTCTTTCCACAAGTTGTTAAATATCATAAAGCAACAGTCGCTGCATTTTGTTGCTTTGCTCCTGAGTCGTCGTCCCCCCACCCCTCCCCCCCCTCCAGAAGGACCCTAAATCTATTAGCAGCGAAGACTCCTTTTTTCCTTTGCTGGCTCTGCGCAATTATTATTATTTTTTTTTAGGATGGTCGTAAAATAACGGAACATTTGAAATCACATCAAATCATTAAAGGAAGCAAAGTATAACCAGCAAGTAAGATCTGCTATATGGTAATATATATGTTAAAACTATAAACAGACAGATGTGGATTGACTCTATAAAAACAAAGCTACTGCAACCACATCTTTCAAGGCATGGGAATTAAAGGTATCGGAGATCGTAAGCATGTCAACAAAACCGTCCTTCACAAATGTACAATATTTTATTGCCGTTCACATTAAAATGTTATTAAAAGCACATTTCAACAGACTTGCACGCCATTGCTCAATTTGATATCGATAAGTAGATCTATAAGCCCGACAAGGAGGTATTTGAGATTTAAGGAAGTCATTGTTTTGTGCATGAAGAAATAGTAAATTGACCAATGGCATGTAATCTGCTGAAATGTGCTTTTAATAATTTTTTCATGCGAATGGCAATAAAATATTGTACATTTTTAAAGGATTGTTTTGTTGACGTACTTACGATCCCGGGTACCTTTAAAGTCCCTCTGAAAGATATGGGTGCAATAGATTAGAATTGAGTGGTAACCTTAAATCAGTCCAAATTACATTATCTATAAAAACAAAAGTTGAGGTGAAATGTGTTGTAACTCGTGGTAGCCAATCAGAACTTATCTTTCACTGATCTGACTACATTGTACTGATAAATGTTTCCCATTGGCTTTAGTATTTTGCACATCATAACATCCTTTTAGATTGTAAGCCCTCACTGGTAGGGCCCTCCTCACCATCTTGTCTTGAATTGTATTGTATTGTAATGTCTTCCTTATATTGTAAAATGCTGCACAAACTGTTGGCGCCCTATAAATCCTGTATAATAATAATTATAATCATACAAGATACAGACAAGCAGTGACCCAAACCGACCAATCAGCAATCGCTTTTCATGATATGACTGCAAAGTGAGATAAAGTTATGGGATAATTCCACTTTCACAGGTGGATTTGGGAATTACCACCTCCAATCTGGCCCTCTCCCCCCCTTTGCTATACATATGCTCCTTCCCATCCGACCGGTGCACTATCTATACTCCGTACTGCTGTGTAGTGCGGCCCTGTGCTCTGTATTTTGAATTTCACTCGCAAATGGCGAGCACTCATTAGTCAGCGTTGTCACCTGACTGCAGTGACCAATGAGAAGCACTTCTTAGCAAGAAGTGCTTCTCATTGATCCAGATGGTCAGAAATGTTTCTCATCTGGTGACCATGCTGATCAATGAGTGCTCGCCATTTGCAAGGAAAATTCTAAATGCAGATCAAAGTGTGGTGCTACGCGGCATTACAGGGTATGGATAGTACTCTGCGGGAGGGGAAGAAGCGTTCGCCCCAAAAGGTAAGTATAGCAAGAAGGAGGAGAGGGTGCCAGGACTGGAGGGGGTAATTTTCCCAAATTCACCTGGGAAAGTGGAATTACCCTTTAAAGTCTAACTGGCTTCTTCAAATTACTGCATGTGATTGCTGATTTATTATATATTTATACATACTGTGAGAGCAATTTATCAAAACTGGAGCAAACAAAATCTGGAGCAGCTGTGCATGGCAACCAATCAGCATCCACCTTTCATCTTCAAAGCTTAACTGAACAAACTGAAGAGAGAAGCCGATTGATTGCCACAGGCAACTGCTCCAGATTTTGTCTGCTCCAGTTTTGATAAATCCCCTCCCCTGTGTATATATGTATGTGTAGGTATATATATAT